AAAAAAAAAACTAGTTATGTACTTCCGTGTATATCAATCTAATATTTTGTATGATGGAAGCCTATAACTAATCGGGTAGTTTCTGTTTTAGGCGATAAAATGACTGTTATCGATAAGTGAAATAAACACAATTAATTAAGTTTCCTTTTTTGATTTTATTAATTTGCCCTTAAGAACAAAGTACTCATAAACGATGCATGAATTCAATATTTTGCTTGACAGAGTCCTCTAATTAATCAAGTTTCCCTTTTAGGCGGTAAAATGACTATGCTTTCTATGTCGGTTATATGAAACATGAAAAGCGGTTCAATTGCAAGGTAAACAAACAAAATTAATTAAGTTTTCTTTTTTATCTCGTTTAATTAGACCTTAAAATAGGCTTTAATTGAACAATGATTTAATTTGTGTACTTTTACTTTCCACGTATGGATGCAGGAGACATCTGGTCAGCTTTGTTACAAAGTGTCTCTGGCTTGTGATTGGTTCAAGTAGATTTAGGGCGTGACATTGGGTTTTATAACAGCACCTCTCAGAGCTGAGGTCTCATTCACCCTGGTGATTTGGCAGAAAGCAGATCGAGCACAACAAGAGCTGTAAGACTGATATCTTACGTTACGTCTACCATCATGGTAAGTGTTGCACAGGAGAAAAGGTTGTACTTCAATTTCACAAATTCACAGATCTGCAATTAATCCCAATTTCATTCCACAGAGTGTGATTAAACCAGAAATGAAGATCAAGCTGCGTATGGAAGGCACTGTAAACGGGCATTCGTTTGTTATTGAAGGATTGGGAGACGGCAAGCCTTTCGAGTAAGTAAAAGCTTAAAGATGTTTAATCATTGTGGTCAGTTGTACGGCCGTCTCCTTTCGAGCAGTGCTTAGTTTAGTTAGACTGGAGAATTCGACTAAGCCGTATTTCTTTCGGGATATTGCCTCAGATGCAGGCTCTATCTTTCTTCCCTTAGAGCTTGCGACCATTAAGGTGACGAAGAACATAGCGAGAAAATCTACATTGAGACTTACAATTCTTATTTGTTATCCTTACATTGAAATCGATACCTAAAATGTACTCAGCTTCGCTCTATGTTAAAATAATTGCAGGGCTAAGGATTGATTTTCTTCTGTTTAATATGCCAATTCCGGCGTAAGCTCTATTTGCCATACATTTGTAAGCCAAGCAAATTACTGGCCGGGGCTATACCAGACTGTTAAGTGCCAAGTTATAAAAACCTCTTTATTTCTAGTTAATCAAGCGATTCCTACCTTTATTTCTCTACCTTATTTCTCTTGGTTTCTCTTTTCTTTTCCATTACAAAAGAGTGTATCCTGCCACATTAAGAGTCGTCGAGTCGTCATTAGTGTCAAAGAAAGCACAGAAAAAGTGCGCACCATTTCAAAGAGCGAGCAATTCAGTAACTCGGTCAATCGGAACGTACTGTACTGTTTCATGGTGCGCGTAAAACAAAGCTACCAAGAAAACAACAATCATACGGTTCTGAATGTTTGACGTCAGACTCTCAATGTCGAAAGCAAATATTTTCTTGATTAATTTGGGCTTTATAAAGTAACAGAATGAATGCTGTTGCACTAAGAGAACGAACTTAGCTGAAAATTTCAGAACTGTTCTTTACACTAATCAGCTTAAGTACATCTCTGTCTTCGTATTTTTCTCAGGACTCCGTGACTGAACAAAACTAATGCATTGCATATGAACAGACTTTACCTTACCCTTGGTTTCCTGTTTTTGTGTTTTAGGGGAAAACAGAGTATGGACCTTAAAGTCAAAGAAGGCGGACCTCTCCCTTTTGCCTACGATATCTTGACAACAGCATTCCATTACGGCAACAGGGTATTTGCTGAATACCCAGACCATATAACAGACTATTTCAAGCAGTCGTTTCTTAAGGGGTATTCTTGGGAACGAAGCCTGACTTTCGAAGACGGGGGAGTTTGCATCGCCAGAAACGAAATA